GTCCTGCCGTCGCGGCCCTGCCTCCCTGCCATAGCGGCCCTGCCTGGAGCCGTCGCGGCCCTGCCGCCCTACTGTCGCGGCCTCGCCTGAAGCTGTCGCGGCCCTGCTCGGCCGCTGTCACGGCCCTGCCTGCAGCTGCTGCGGCCCTTCCTACAGCCGCAGTCGCGGCCCTGCCTACTGCCGCTGTTGCGGCCCTGCCTACCGCCGTCGTTGGCGGCCCTACCCTGGTAAGCGCACCGCCGCACCCGCGCCGCCCTTGTGAGCCGCGCCGCCCTGCCAAGTCGCGCTGTTCTTGCTGCTACTGCTGCTGCTAGGCTACTGCTGCTGCTCCTGCTGTCATGGCTAGCCCTAATGTCCTTACCTTCGATGCTGAGGGTCGAGCGGTCGATTTTGAGGTATGGGTCGATGATTTGCAGCTTTTTCTGCAGTGTGACTCTAAGGACGGAGTCTCACTGTTCGACCACACGTCCGGCGTCGCTGTTGCCATTGCTGCCGATGCTGACAGTACAGTTCACTCACAGTGGACCACACGCAATGTTGCTGCTCGTCTAGCTGTCCGTAGTCACCTGCCGTCTGCTGAGCGCGCGCACTTTAGCCAGTACAAGACCGCTAGGACTCTGTACGACGCTGTTGTTGCGCGTTACTCCTCCCCTGCCACTGCTGCCCTTAGCCACCTCATGCTGCCGTACCTGTTCCCTGACCTAGCTGCTTTTGCCACGGACACTGACCTCATTACGCACCTTCCTGCCGAGTTCTGCGCCGCGAACCCCCCCCCTATGTACATCACTCTCTCTGCTGCTGCTGTCGACCTCGTTGGCACCGAGTCGGTCGGAGCTGCGTCCGCTCCTAGAGGGAGGCGCCGCAGCGGCAGGAGCAAGGGGGCCAAGGGTGCTGGAGGGGATGGCGGGGGCGGCGGTGGTGGCGGTGGAGGCGGTGAAGGGGGTGGGGGCGGAGGTGGGGGTGGTGTCGGGAGTGGGGGCTTCGGTAGCGGTGGTGGAGGTAGAGGCGGCGGAGGCAGCGGCAGTGGGGGTGGAGGTGGCGGCGGCGGCGGCGGAGGCGGTGGGGGTGGCGGCGGCGGTGGTGCTGGTCGAGGTGGCGCTGTGCAGCGGGGAGGCTTTGGCGGTGGCCATCACTAGCAGCAGCAGCGCCCTCGTGCGACCCTGTCGCCCCAGCAGCTTCGTGAGTGGTACGCTGGGCGTGGGAGGTCTGGGGGTGCTGGTCCCTGCGCTTATGTTCTCCGCACCGACGACCGCAGTGAAGAGACGTGCGGCGGCCCGCACGCCACGCTCCGCTGTTTCGGCCGTCTGACTGACGCCTGGCGTACACTGTTTCCTGACGCCACTGAGATCCCTCACTGGGGTGATCTGCTTAAGTCGGGGGTTGCTATCTTTGATCTTGATTATGATGCTATCCTTGCTGCTATGTATGCTGTGTCTATTAGTGCTGAGGGTGACTGTTACCTGTGTGTTCCGCCCGACCCGGGCATTGAGGCTACTGCTCTAGGTGCTAGTGAGTCTGCTGCTCCAGGTGCTGGTGAGGCTGCTCTCTCAGGTACCGCGTCGGCTCAGGTCTTGCACACTTTCACCCTTGACTCGGGTGCTTCCCGCTCCTTCTTTCGCGACTGCACCACACTCTCGCCGCTCAGTCGGCCGGTGGCAGTCTCTCTGGCTGACCCCTCTGGGGGTCCGGTCCTCGCACACTCCTCCACGGTTCTGCCGTGTCCGGCGGTCCCGTCTGGCTCTTTGTCTGGCCTCCACCTCCCCTCGTTCTCCACGAACTTGGTGAGTGGAGCTTACCTTCAGGATGCGTGGGTTGACCAGTTCACTCCTGGAGGTCAGCGGGTGACCCACTGTTCGTATACTCGGACGGGCCGGCACCTGGCCACGTTCACTCGTCAGCCTGGGTCGAGCCTGTACACCTTGACTACCGTGCCTCCTCCGGTTGCTGAGTCTGGTCAGGTAGCCGCGTCGGGTCAGGTGTTTGCCGCAGCATCCCGGTCTGGTCCTGAGTTTCCCCCCTGCTCGTGTCGCCTCCTGTCTCACCAGACTCTCCTCTGGCACCACCGCCTTGGTCACCCCTCCCTGCCTCGTCTCCGAGGCATGGCCTCCCGTGTCCTTGTCACTGGTCTTCCCCGGTCTCTCCCTCCCCTCCCCCCGGGGCCTGCCCCTACCTGCGTTCCTTGCGTCGAGGGGCGGCAGCGCGCCGCTCCTCACTCCTCCGAGTTCCCTCCGACAGAGGCTCCCCTGCAGACTCTTCACATGGACGTGTGGGGCCCCGCCCGCGTCCGTGGACAGGGTCACGAGCGCTACTTTCTGCTGGTCGTTGACGACTACTCGCGTTACACCACAGTCTTCCCCTTGCGCCGCAAGGGTGAGGTCACTGAGGTGCTGATCGACTGGATCCGCGCTGCTCGTCGTCAGCTCAGCGAGAGTTTCGGCTCGGACCAACCTGTTCTGCGTCTGCACTCAGACAGAGGTGGAGAGTTTTCCTCCGACCTTCTGCGGGCCTTCTGTCGTGCGGAGGGCATCCGCCATACGTTCACGCTTCCGGCCTCTCCACAGCAAAATGGAATTGTTGAGCGCCGCATTGGTATGGTCATGGACGTCACTCGTACGTCCATGATCCATGCGGCTGCTCCCCATTTTCTGTGGCCGTTCGCAGTTCAGTACGCGGCGCATCAGATCAACCTCCAGCCCCGGGTCTCCGTGCCGGAGACCACACCTACTCTGCGGTGGACGGGGAAGGTTGGCGATGCGTCCGCGTTCCGTGTCTGGGGATCTCGAGCTTTCGTCCGCGACTTGTCTGCGGACAAGCTGTCCTCCCGTGCTGTTCCCTGCGTCTTCCTTGGCTTCCCCTCTGACGCGCCTGGTTGGCAGTTTTACCACCCCACCTCGCGCCGTGTTCTGTCCTCTCAGGACGTCACGTTTGACGAGTCGGTTCCTTACTACCGTCTCTTCCCCTACCGCACTGCCCCCCTCCCCCCCCCGCCGCTCTTCCTCGCGCCAGGTCCTCCCCCAGTAGACCCCCTCCCCCCTCAGGGTCCTGCCCCCTCAGGTGTGTCCCAGGTAGATGCAGTCGAGCCTGTCGAGGTAGCTGTTGACTCTGGTGCTACTAGGGGTGCTGAGCCTGCGGGTGCCGGGTCTGGGGGTGCTGAGCCTGAGCGTGCGGAGCGTGGGGGTGCTGAGTTTGGGGGTGCTGAATCTGGGGGTGCTGAGCCTGGGGTTGCTGAGTCTGGGGGTTCGGAGCCTGAGGTGCTGAGCCTGCGCGTGTGGAGTCTGGAGGTGCTGCGCTTGGAGGTCCTTCGGGTGCTTCGTCCCGGCAGGAGCCACTCTCTCCACCGCAGCTGCGCGAGTGGTTTGCTCGCCGCTGGAGCCGTGCTGCTGGAGCTGGTGGTGCTACGGGTTCTGGTGGTTCTGCTGGAGCTGGAGCTCCTAGAGGTGCTGGAGCTGGAGGTGCTGGAGCTGGAGGTGCTGCTAGAGCCGGTGCTCCTGGGGGTGCTGGAGTTGGCGCTACTGGAGCTGCTGGAGGTGCTGGTGGAGCTGGTGGTGCTACTGGAGTTGGAGCTGCCGCTGGGGGTGCTGGTGCTGTTCCTGCTGGTTCTGGAGGCGCTGTGCGGCCGCGGCCGTACTTGGTTCCACTCCTTGAGCAGGTTCTTGGTCTCCCGCCTTCTACTAGTCCAGCTCCTTCCTTAGAGTGTCCACAGCCTGTCCAGTCCGAGTCACAGTTACAGCCGGCCTCCCCACTGCCTGCTCCCTCTCTTTACATTGGTCCGACAGGAGGTCTTACGGAGCGTCGTGAGCCTGAGTCTCGTCCTGCGTTGCCTGTTCGTGCTGCTCGCACTGGTCGTCGATGTTCACGTCAGCGTCCTCCTCCTGTCCCTGGCACACACCAGATGGCTCTGCGTCCTTCCACTGCTCCGCAGCGTGTCCCTCTGCCGTCTCCTCCTGAGTCCTCTCTTCCTACACTTGCTGACCCGGAGTCTGACTCCCTTCATGCTGCCAGTCCTACTGTCACGCGTCTCCTGGCCACTGTTGTCACTGACCCTTCCTTTGAGTCCACTGCTGCGTCTGCCTTAGTTGCTGAGCTTGTCGACTTTGCTGCTCACTGTCGTCTAGACTACGCCGCTAGTCTTGTTGCTGAGTCTGCGTCTGTCTGTCCTCCGTCCGTCGGGGATGAGTGTGCTCTTAGCACGGACGTCCTTGAGGACAGGCAGGAGGAGTTCCAGTGTTTTGCTGCTGCTTTACCTCATCTCGTGTCCATGCTGCTTGCCCCTGAGGGAGACCCGGATGCACCAGACATCCCGACCCCGCGCTCTTACGCAGAGGCGATAGAGGGTCCCTACTCCTCTCAGTGGCAGACAGCCATGGATGCAGAGATGGCTTCCTGGGGCGAACATTGTCGATGGCATGTGGATTTTCAGGGTGAAGCGGCCGCCGGGTTCTCCGCCTGTCTTCAAGGCGTGTTACATGGCTCGAGGCTTCAGGCAGCGGCAGGGAGTTGACTACTTTCATACCTTCTCTCCCACCCCGAAGATGACCACTCTTCGGGTACTGCTGTACGTCGCTGCTCAGCGTGACTACGAGCTGCACTTGACTTCAGGAAAGCCTTCTTACAGGGCAGCCTGCACGAGGAGATCTGGCTGCGCCGCCCACCTGGCTTCACTGGGTCGTTTCCTTCTGGTACCCAGTGGAGCCTCCGGCGGCCAGTCTACGGTCTCCGCCAGGCACCCCGTGAGTGGCACGACACACTGAGGACTACGCTTGCGGCTCTTGGGTTTGCACCTTCCACTGCTGACCCGTCGCTGTTTCTCCGCACCGACACTACTCTGCCGCCGTTCTACATCCTCGTGTACGTCGACGACTTGGTCTTTGCTACTGCTGACACTGCTGCGGGTGCAGCAGGGGGGGGGGGAGGGGATCTGCAGCACCAGCCCCCCCCGCCCCCCCCTTCTCCATCCCCCTGCTGCAGGTGGAACAGTGGGGGGGAGGGGATCTGCAGCACTAGCCCCCCCCCCCCTTCTCCTCCATCCCCCTGCTGCGGGTGCAGCAGTGGGGGGGAGGGGATCTACAGCACCAGCCACCCCCCCCCCCTTCTCCTCCATCCCCCTGCTGCGGGTGCAGCAGTGGGGGGGAGGGGATCTGCAGCACCAGCCCCCCCCCCCCTTCTCCTCCATCCCCCTGCTGCGGGTGCAGCAGTGGGGGGGAGGGGATCTGCAGCACCAGCCCCCCCGTCCCCCCTTCTCCTCCATCCCTCTGCTGCAGGTGGAGCAGTGGGGGGGAGGGGATCTGCAGCACCAGCCCCCCCCCCGCCCCCCCCCCCCCCTTCTCCTCCATCCCCCTGCTGCGGGTGCAGCAGTTGGGGGGAGGGTATGGGGGTGGTGGGTGTGAGTGAACGGCTACCGCCTCTCCTCCTCTCTCTCCCACTGCTGCACATGCCGCTGTGGGGGGAGGGTGGGGGAGATGAGGGAGTGGTGGTAGGGGTGTGACAGGGAGGTTGGGGGAATGGGGGAAGTTGTAGGGGGGTGGACGCCGTGAAGCCAGCAGCTCCAGTCGCCCGTGAGACCGTTGCGCCAGTTGCTCGTGAGCTTGTTGCTCCTGTCGCCCGTGAGTCAGTTGCTCCTGCCGCTCGCTTAGCCGCGGAGCCAGTTACTCCAGTTGCCCATGTGCCAGTTGCTCCATTTGCCAGTGTGCCAGTTGCTCCAGTTGCCCGTGTGCCAGCAGCTTCAGCCGCCGCCCACCACCTCCTCTCCTCTCATGGTCCCTCCTCACTTGCCCTCTCCTTCTTCCGCTGCGCAGGGTGTACCCCTTTAGGGGGTGTTCTGCACATGGCTATTCTTGCATGCAGTTAGGGGGTGTGTCAGAATGTATTTTATATATATTGCTGTATAATTGCATATAGTTATAGCCGTAGTGTAGTTACTGTTATAGTCCCTGTAGGTGGTGCACCCTTTGCCATCTCTCGCTCCTATATCTTGTACCTTCTTCTCTTAGTGAAACATCTTTTCCTCTCTCACTTTTACTCTCGACACTTGCCTAGCTTACACCCTAGCTATGGCTCATCCCATTTCAACATTCAGGAGGACCACATCGCAGCAATTCGATCGCACTGAATTTCCCGCGTTTTAATTCACATTTGCGCGAAAATAACGAGGCCATCATGGTTGTTCAGTCATCTACTCACTGTTGTGTCCATTTCGTCTTCACTGCACTGGCCGATTTGGTGGCCCTTTCTAAGTGATCTAGTCTACCCGTAAGTACCAAGCGCAGCCATTAGTTGTGCCACTATCGTTTTACTCCTCAATAGCTGCCATGTCGGAACCCAGGGAACGCGCCGAGCGGTTAGCGAATAGCATTATAGAGGCAATGAGAAACGTTCCACCCGTAGTCTGTGGCCGACCAAAAGCTCCTTAGGATAATGCCCCATTGAGGCAAGGAGGTATCTACTCCTCGAGGGATAAGGCCCTCAAGACTGTGCAGGCCCACGCGTTGCATCATCGTTTTGGATTCGCGACTGTGGAGGTGGTGGACACGCACGTTATTCTCCAATTGCAAAACCACCATGTATGGACAAAAGCCAATATGCCCCTGGGAGTGTAGTTACAGCAGGATTGTTCATGGCGGCTTCTGGATGGTGACATCCCTCTCCCCTCCTGAATCACACGTCTGCAAGAAGTACAAGCGAGAGCAAGGAGCAAACGCCATCGCCAACAGCGTGAAGGTCATGAAGCGGCTTTGGGGCAACCTTGTTCGTGGCACACCGTTTATTTCGGCGAAGATTTTGCAGCAGATTCTCACATCCCACAGCAAGTTCCAGATCAGTTACAAGCAGGCATGGTGGCTACGTGAAGCAATCCAGAAGGAGATGTACGGGGATTGGCAAGAGTCGTTCAGGTTGCTCCCCGCGTTGGCTGATAGGTTCCGGGAGATAGACCCGGATGGAAACTTCTTGATTCAGACGGTCGACGGCTGTTTTAACCGCTTCTCGCTGTGCGCTTGGTTTTTGCCGCCCCGTTGTTGCATTGGACGGAACGTTCCTCATCAGTGCACAATGCGCAACCCTTCTGATTGTTGTGGTTCTGGACGGCAACCAGAAGATTACAATGTTGGCGTGGGCTTTGGTCAAAGGAGAGAACAAGGATTCGTGGAGTTGGTTTCTGCAAAACTTTTTGAAGAGCTTCCCGGAGTGGCTGCACCGTGACGACGCATCCATCATCAGCGACCGCGACAAGGGTTTGATTCCGACTGCACGAGATGTTCTCTCGCTTGGCATACCCCATTACTTCTGTGCATGGCATCTTCACCAGAATGTTGTCAAGTTTGGAGAAGCAGCTGCTCTGTTCTATTGGCGTCTTGTGAAGTGCAGGCTTGACGACAAATGGGACGCTTTGGTGGCGGCCTGTCGGTGTGACTTTGCACCAATGGCTAATTATCTCCTCGGCATTGTGAAGCCGATCTCGGACACCTCACCTGCAGATGCAAGTGAGCAGCAACGTCCAGCTCCCACAACAGCTGCTGAGGCACGTCAACAAGCAACCGAGAATCGTCGCCAGGGTCGTGATGAAGCACGTGCCGCCATGGGTCACGGCACTACTTCATGTGCACATGGGCGTGGTGCGGGAGATGCCAGCGCGGCGGGAGCCACACCGGCCGAACCAGAGCCACCGACTGAAAGCACTGCTGATCCTATGGCTCAGCCGACCGAGTCCCTTGCCACCAACTCGCCGCCAGCTCGTCCGTCTGGATCAACGCCTGCAAATGCACAACCTTTCGATTATGCACGCATCCGGAGACGTGTAAGGACAGGTTACATCCCCAGCTCCATCCGTATGGACCTGCCACGTGCAACTGGATCGAACGGAAACCCGGCTAAGGATGCAGAGGAACCCAACAGAGGAAGCACCTGCCATGCATTGGTCCTGGTCTCTTTGGATCACCCGTGGCCAGATGTTGGCAGTGCCAACCCCGGGGTTAACACAGCGGCCGATGCTAAAGAGGACGATGAGGAGGATGCAGATGCAGAGGAGGCAGATGCAGAGGAGGCAGATGTAGAGGAGGCAGATGCAGAGGATGCGGAAGCACGTGCCACAGGAGAGGGGGTGCATGCAGAGGTTGGCGTGGACAACGATGACAACACTCCAGAGTCCGGTGTCGCAGATGGGGACCACTCCACACACGTGCGGACTGGTTTTAGGCAGAAAAAGCGTGGTACAAGGAAGAAGTTGGGCATCAACCTTGTCCACTGGACTCGCCTTAAGGCCCCTACTCGACGCTTCGGGATCTTCACCAGCAACGCAGCTGAGCAGGTCAACAGCTCCATCGTGCCCAATCGGCGCTTGCCGGTGACCCCGATGCTAGGGGGTCTCATGGACTGGTATCGCAATAGGTATTGTGAATGTAAGATGGCGGCGCTCGAGCGAACCGATCTCCTGACAGAGGCAGCCGAGGAGCGGATGGTGGAGAAGGAGACACGGGCGGAGGGGTACGAGCTGTTGGGCGGGGACCATGAAGAAGGAACCATCCAGACCGGGGACACCGATGATCCCAAAGAATGGAGGTCCTTCAACGTCAACTTGGCGGCGAAGACATACGACTGCACAAACTAGGACCAGTACCAGTTTCCGTGCTCCCATGCTGTGGCCTTTGCTGTGAAGCGGAAGCTAGACCCCCGCACTCTCGTCTCTGATTTCTACACCACGAAGAATTGGGCAGAGACGTACTCTTCAACGGTGCGGGGGTCCTGTGTGGACTGCATCATCCTTGAGAAGAGGCTGCACCCCCCAGGCGTGTGCGATGCTCCGCCCTTTCGCCGCACCGCTGCCGGCCGCCCCCCGAGCTACGCTCGCGTAGAGAAGGCCGTGCATCCATACAAGTGCAGCATTTGCAAGATGCACGGTCATAACAAGAACCGCTGCATGGGGAAGTACGGTGGCAGCGCTGTTCCACATAAGAGGAGGTACCGTAAACGGCCAAAGTCGCGAAAGCCCTATCGGGAGGCTGCACCTGGCGCGGGCACCATTTGAACATTCCAGGGTTTATATAGCTACATTAGCGTCTCAATGAGTTAGAGTAGTCTCTGTAGTAGGTGTTCTCAAACCACTTTGGCTAGTGTAGAAGATTTAGTGTTGGTATACTGGGTTCATAGGTTTATGTTTGTATTGGCATGATTGATATACACAATAAAATCCAGTAGAGTGCAGGTTGAGGCTGACGAGCACGTCAACCTAGCGTGAAAACCCTGTGACGGGTTTAGGGACCAACACTGGAAGCGCCGTGGCCCGATCGTTAGGAGCAGGGTAAAATTTCCCGTCACCAATTCGTCAATGTCCCGTGAACAAACGTGAGCGACAAAGTCCAGGCACCCGTGAACTCGTTGGGAATACAACACCACTGAATCGCCTCGGTCGAGACCATGCATGATCATTTACCAGGCCCTCGCGAATGGCCTGTGAACACACCGTAAGATTTCTAGCAGTTGGATAGCCGGTGGCAAATTACGCCCCAGCGTTATATTCGATCGTTGTAGATGGCTTGTGAAAGGCCAGTGGAATGTCCGTGAAGTGTAACCGAGTGCTTCGGGACAGTCCGATTTGGCACGCACAGAACGAACTACTACGTCACTAACCCGTGAACTCCCAATCAATGGAACGCCATTGGTTAGAACATGCGCTCGTCTCAACATCGTATATCTCTCGTAACTGTGTTGCTACATTGCATCATTTATGTTCAACATGCCTGTAGGCATTAATCATCTTAGAGTGCCAATGCGGTTGTGTGTATGAGTTAATTTGGGTTGGTAATAAGGATAGTAGGCAGTACCAATTAATATGTGACATTAAAAACCTAGCACAAACGTCAGCTACTCGTGAATTTATGAAGCATTTGTCAAATCCCAAGGACACCCATACAGACAGCGGTACAGGCAGTTTTAGTAGCTCACACAATACGGACCCAGACGTCTACGGACCCAAACAAATATTGTAATCATCACAAATAAACGACCCCGTCTTGATGACAATTATTCATGTGTCCCATCGTTGCGCTTTCTAGTCCGTCGACCGTCTGTCCGAGATGAGACATTCTAGATGGGTACAAGTATGAAAACCTAGAAAAGTTGTACCCCATAATGTCTACCTCACTACAGCCTACACAGGCTATATCATATATGTTTCACACACCCCCATAGGCAAAGTGGGGGAGAACAAGAGGTCACAAGACCAGTCAAGGAAAGCAAAGCAAGCTCAGGGTGGATCACGACGTCACCACGCATTCTGAACACAAGCACAAGGCCACAAGGCCAGTTCACATGCAGAGTTATATGTCAAGGTGAACAAGCAAGACAATGGTCTCAACCTAGTAAGGGTAAGCATGCAGGTGCAGGTATATATAGATCACAGTACAAGCAAAGTCAAGAAGTGAGCAAGTGAGGCCAAGTAGGAACAAGACCTGTTAGAATGTGAGCGAATGAATGACTGAACTAGAAAGCAGGTGGGTCAAGGTAATGGTGCGCTGTGCTCTATCCCGGGTGATCCGCAAGCCAAGATAGCTTGTCAGCTCACCCAGGTCTGTGCACGTGTGTCTCTTCTACAGCTCGGACTTCACGTGGGCGAGTGCCTCAGTGTCAGCAGTAGCAAAGACAAAGTCGTCTACATACACGAGAACGTAGAACGGCGGCAAAGTAGTGTCAGTGCGTAAAAACAGAGAAGGGTCAGCAGTGGAAGGAGCAAAACCAAGAGCAGCAAGAATCATCCTGAGTGTGTCGTGCCACTCACGGGGTGCCTGGCGGAGACCGTAGACTGGCCGCCGGAGGCTCCACTGGGTACCAGCAGGAAACGACCCAGTGAAGCCAGGTGGGCGGCGCAGCCAGATCTCCTCGTGCAGGCTGCCTTGTAGGAAGGATGTGCTGAAGTCAAGCGAGTGGAGCTCGTAGTCACGCTGAGCAGCAACGTGCAGCAGTACCCGAAGAGTGGTCATCTTCGGGGTAGGGGAGAAGGTCTGAAAGAAGTCAACTCCCTGTCGCTGACTGAAGCCACGTGCAACGTAACGCGCCTTGAAGGCAGGCGGAGAACCCGGCGGCCGCTTCACCCTGAAGATCCACATGCCACTGACGATGTTCGCCCCAGGTGGGGGAACCTTGTCTACGTAGGTGCCTGTGGACTTCCAGGAAGCCATCTCGGCGTCCATGGCTGCTTGCCACTGAGAGGAGTAGGGACCCTCTATCGCCTCTGCGTAAGAGCGCGAGGTCGGGATGTCTGGTGCATCCGCGTCTCCCTCAGGGGCAAGCAGCATGGACACGAGATGAGGTGCAGTAGCGGCAAAGCACTCAAACTCCTCCTGTTTGTCCTCAAGAACGTCCGTGCCAAGAGCACACTCACCCCCGACGGACGGAGGACAGACAGACGCAGACGCAGACGCAGCAACAAGACTAGTGGCGTAGTCTAGGCGACAGGCTGCAGTAAAGTCAACAAGCTCAGTAACAAGAGCAGACGCAGCAGTGGACTCAAACAAAGGGTCAATGACAGCAGTGGCCAGAAAGCGCGTGACAGCTGGACTAGCAGCACGTAGGGAGTCAGACGCAGGGTCCGGACCGGCAGGAAGAGAGGACGCAGGAGGAGACGGCAGAGGGACACGTTGTGGAGCAGTGGAAGGACGCAGAGTCATAGAGTGAGTGCCAGGGACAGGAGGAGGACGCGGACGTGACACACGACCAGCGTGAACAGTACGGACAGGCGACGCAGAAGGAGACTCAGGCGACACAGGACGCGACTCAGGCTCACGACGCTCCGTAAGACCTCTAGTCGGTCCAGAGTAAGGAGAAGGACCAGGCAGTGGAGAGGCCGGCTCTAACGGCGAGTGTGACTGGACAGGCGGTGGACTCAGTAAAGGAGGAGTAGGACCAGGAGAAGGCGGGGGACCAAGGACCTGCTGAAGGAGCGGAACGTAGTACGGCCGTGGCCGCGCAGCGCCTCCAGAAACAGCAGAGACAGCACCAGTACCCTCAGCTCCAAGGTCTCCAGCAACAACTCCCGCAGCACCAACGGCTCCAGAACCCGCAGCTCCAACGCCTGCAGCTTCACCAGCCCCAGCAGCTCCAGTACCTCTAGTACGAGCACCTCCAGTAGCACCAGCAGCACCTCCAGCAGCTCCAGCAGCACCTCCAGCAGCTCGAGCAGCTCCAGCACCAGCAGCACCTCCAGTAGCACCAGCACCGGCAGCACCTCCAGCAGCTCCAGTAGCACGGCGACAGCGCCGAGCGTATCACTCACGAAGCCGCTGCGGAGAGAGGGGCTCCCGCCGCAACGGGACACCCGGAGAACCTCCAGACGTGTTGGTGCAACCCTACGGTTTGCACTCGGCTTGTTGTCCGTGTGCGTGAATGTGTGTGTGTATGGAATGGTATGAGGGCATGGGATAATATATATTTCATGCTTATAATTGTGTGTGAATGTTGAGTCATGATGTCGAGTGTGTGTGTCGAGTCAATAGCGAGTTATCGCTAGACGCGTGTTACGCGGTCGTTTGTGTCTCGCGCGCGGTTTCTATTTTGTCGTGCGCGGTTTCTATTTTGTCCTGTGTCGAACGTTCGGCGTGTCGCAGGTGTGTGCAGCAGACCCATCAAGAACTCAAGGATGAGTTTGTGATGAAGAGCCCGAGCCTTGGTGTCAAGCCTCAAGTGATTTCGAAGCTTGCCAAAAGGGTACACCTCAAGATATTGAAGATAGTTACATTACTTTGTGTAGTGTAACATTTCACTTGGTGTAGGCCCTAGTGAAGGGTAGTTTCGAGACCCTTCGTGGTTGGGGACAGTGTGGCACTGTTCCACATCACTGTACCTCGGCTCTTGGGGTTTGTAGGAGCTGGGAGTCATTCCCAACTCGTAACTCTTCCTATCTTGTGTTCTAAGACTATAGTGGCTGCCATAGTACCGTTCGTTCAAAACCGACGCTGTGTCGTCAATTATTTATCAAATCGTGCAATCTAAATTTCTAATTGTAGACGACGTGAAGACGCTCCAGATCCAATTTGAATCAAGTCATTTGCAGCTGTGAGCAGAACGCTATCAACGTTTGAAGCCGCTGTGCAGAAATCCGTCAGTGCTCTCTATCTTTCGTTTTAGGCACATTCAAGCCTATTGTGACTATAACAAGTGGTATCAGAGCCCCTTGGAGCAGTTTCGACAATGTCTGGACCTGAGGAAAGGGGTGGCAGTGTCAGAGTTATATGACATAGCTACTGTAGGCTATAGTGGGGTAGCACATATGGGGTACAGTTGTTTAGGGTTTGCCTTTTGTACCCAACTTTCACTTAGTCATTTCATTCCTGTTTTCTTGATTCACATGGTATAGAGCGGGTTCCTACATGGGACCGTTCCTTCCTAAGGGCCCACCATAAGAATTTTTTTTTTAGCTGCCCGCGCACATTGCGCCCTGCCCTAATTTTTTTTTTTAGCGGCCCCTACGCTGCCCCTACGCGGCCCCTACGCCGCCTCCCACGCGCCCCCTATGCGGCCCCTGGCGGCGCCCTGACGAGGCCCCTGCCGGCGCCCTATCGCGGCCCTTGACGCGCCCCCTGGCGGCGCCCTGACGCGGCCCTGACGCGGCCTGACGCGGCCCCTGGCGTCGCCCTGACGCGGCCCTGCCGTGGCCCCTGACGCGGCCCTGACGCGGCCTGCCGCGGCCCCTGCCGCGGCCCTGAAGCGGCCCCTGACGCGGCCCTGACACGGCTCTGCCGCGGCCCTGACGCGGCCCTGACGCGGCCCTGCCGCGGCCCCTGGCGGCGCCCTGACGCGGCCCCTGACGCGGCGCCCTGACGCGGCCCCTGCCGCGGCCCTGACGCGGCCCTGCCGCGGC